TTCAGATTTCCAGCTGCATGTTGATGCTTCTCCTCTTCAGTTCACCACACTCATTTTCTATAGGGTTCAGCTCAGGGAACTGAGTTGGCCAGGGCAGAAGCTTGGTTCTGTTCTCAGTGACCCATTTTTGTTTTGATTTTGATGTTTGTTTGTGGATCATTGTCCTGTTGGAAAACCCAACCATGGCCCATTTTAAGATTTCTAGAATGGGCAGTCAGTTTTTAATTTTTTATCCATTGGTATTTTATAGAATCCATTATGCCATCTATCTGAACAAGATATCCAGGATCTCCAGCAGGAAAATAGGCCCACAACATTAAAGATCCAGCAGTATATTTCATTGTACACATAGGGCACTTTTTTATCCCTGTGTGCACCAAACCCATCTTGAGTGTTTGCTGCTAAAAAGCTTTTTTTGTTTGTTTGTTTCTTCTGACCATTGAACCCAGTCCCGTATAAAGTTCCAGTCGTGTCTAGCAAATAAATATGCTGGAGTTTGTTTTTGGATGAGAGCATTTTCTTTTCTACACACGTCCTCTTACAGTATTAGAGACAAATATTTATTTCATAATGTGATTTTCCCCCACTTTCACTTTTTTTTTTTTTACTTTAAAGGTAAGATTTTTTTTACATTTTTGAATGAAAGATCAAGTAGATAAACAATGCGGCACAGCCTTCTTTGATCATATTTATCAAGGGTATGAATAATTTTGAGCACAACTGTAGTTAAGTAGTTAAACATCATAAATGTTTAACTACTTACATCTTGCCTTACATGCTTCCACTGAAGTAGTGCGCTGGAATTCATGTTCGGGTTCTGATAACCGTCTGCCTTCTTTGATTTGATTGACCATCTCAATCATTTTGACATTGACAAGAACTGTTAGACCACTGAGGCAGCCATATTTAATTATTGGTAGTTACGGCCCTGGTTTACACTGCAGTGTTGCCATGTGCCTTTTTTTCCAATGTTGTGAAGCAAATAAATCTCAAAATATTTATTATTATTAGGATAATGAATTATTTTATTTAGCATTGTCCCATTTCAAAATGAGATCACCTGAACAGGATGTTAATACCAGGTGTAAATGAAGCCATAGTATGAGTACTATATAGCCGCTTTTTCTGTCGGGCCAGTGTGAGCTAGTGCTTTAAATGGGCCAGGCGGAGCTAATAGTCTCGGACCTGTAGCACCGAAGCCAAAATCACGCTGCATTTTCATCATCGGGCCAGAAGCTAAAACCCGCCCTTTACACGCCGCTCTGGAACAACATCACGCAACTCCATCATTTCACCAACAAAGAGAAGTTATCAGAAATAAATCACTGCAGCTAGAGAGATCACAAAACGAACGTGATAATAGCGGACGTTTCTTTGCATGTTTTGTTGTTTACTTAAAGATTTAAATCCAAAAGCATCGATGTTTTACAAAGAATGAATTATTTGTCAGGGCTGAAAATAAGTCACAAAGAAATAAAGTGGTATTTACTGTTATTTCAGAAAAGAAAGAGGACACACTTATTCAGTCACGTCTGTTTCTGTTTATTTGTCTGTAGTACTCTATTCATGTGACTCAATATGGAGACCGCCATGAGTGGGCGACCCACTCTATGTGAAATAACACAGCAATGTCTTTATCTCGTATGTGTGCACATGATCTGTCAAAACTATTCATTGCTTTAGCTGTAATAAAATACTTTGTTTACTATAAGAGAGCTACTGTATATGAAGTGTGTCTGCTCTCTTGTAGCTCTCAGAGGTGAAAGGGAATCTGGTGAAGCTGCAGGTGGAGAATGAAGCTCTACTGGGAATCAAACGACACCAGGCCACTGTTGATGACAAATTTTACTCATAAATGAATTTGTGAAATGATTTTCATGCTTTATTGGGTATTTGAAAAACGGTATTGATGTATAAGCTTAGCCAACAGTTTTGGAGATTTTGGTCTGTCATTATGAAGATTGGTGCTGCACTTGCATGACTAGTAAATAGCTTGGGATGTTACTAAAATGGCCACCAAGTGAACTTGAAGGCCACCTTGCTTAAAGGAACTTGGTAACAAGTAGTTTCTTTCATTTAGTTCATGAGCATAACATAAAATTAGAAGTATAACCCTGTGCCACACAAAATACTTTGATATTAGGTGCAACATGTCTCGTACCTTTCATATAGTCCGAATTTTTTTTAGCTTGTTTGTGCAGCAGTGTTGTGTGTATACGTTCGTGCTCTCTCTCCCTCATTAACCTGTATGGCCGTGGATCTGAGCTCTAGCAGATGTCTCTCTCTAGGGGGCTGGGTTTTATATTGGAGTTTATACATAGCCATGGCTGAGGGGCTGCTGAGAAAAGGTCAGGCCTTAGTGAGCGAGTCTGATTATAGCTGGGAAATAAGTGCTCCACGGGGCTGATTGCAAGGAGGTCACCTCCACCAAGGGTCAGATTGAATGAGTGTGTCTGTGTGCGCCCTTGGAAAGACAAATAAAATGAATAAAAATTTATATGTGACCCTGGACCACAAAACCAGTCATAAGTTAAATTGTTAAATTGAGATTTATATATTATCTGAAAGCTGAATAAATAAGCTTTCCATTGATGTATTTTTGGCATAAATGAAAAATCGATTAATTTTGACCCATACAATGTTTTTTTTGGCTATTGCTAAAAATATACCCAAGCGACTTAAGACTGGTTTTGTGCTCCAGGGTCACATATAGACATTTAAAAATAATAATAATGAAAATGGCGAAAACACACAGCAAAATTACTGAAATTTAAAAAAAAAATGTCAAAATAGAAGTGAAAACAGAAAATGTAAACAAAATCCAATTCAAAATAATAACAAAAGCTGTAATAGTATATCAGAGATACTTAGATAAAACTGATAGCATGGTGCAGTAATGCTATTGGCTGTTAATACCATGGTACTGAATGATGAATATTCATATACACCACAGTATCTACATGGTATGCCAAGCTACTTCAGTGAATACCATTTATTACCATTGGACATGTCCAAGAAACCATTGTCATTCTCTAGTTTGTATGTCATTGTAGTCTCTGGCCTTGTCCCAAATGACACACTTCATGTGCACTTGCGGACTTACAGTGTCCGCCGCACATGCCTGTCCGTTAAGTTCATGATACCATAGGTTGTCCCATTTATCATTTTAGTGAACATCTCCTTTGCGGCTGCTATGCATACTTGATGCAGACTTCTACCTGGCAGTCAAAGCAGCATTTCATCACAAAAGTGTGGACTCAGAAGAACGCGAGGGTTTTAGGGTGTGATTTTGGACAGGGCCTCTGTCATTCATATACCATCTGCTGCTTGTTCATAGTCTCTGACCTCTCTGTAATGTCACATGGTCTGGGAGTCATTACCGTGGTTAATGCTATTCTGTTTATCCAGTTGACCTCTACTCATTTTACTGAGCTGTCTTAAGCAATTTTACAGACTTCAGATTTTTGGAATAGTTTTTACCCTGAACATGCATTATACAGACAGATGTTTAGGATAGAGGAACTTGTTAAAGAAGAAAGTAGAAATATGATTGCTGATTACAACTTACCAGAGTACTGTCTGTTCTGTTTTTGCTGTTTTTTATTTGATTTGATTATTCATGTCACTTTGATAATAAAATATAATTATAAAATGAAAATTTGTTGAAAAAGGTTTAGTATATTCAAATTTGCAGACCAATTAGTTAAAATATAATTGTGTGTTTTGTTTTGTTTTGATTTGATAAGAATTACCCCTTGTTTCTTTCTATCAGTTATCAGACCCTTTTTTGTCCCAGAAGGGACATTGGATTTGAAATTGCACATGAAATTGTGTATGGCAGAAAGTTTTTCATCTTCCTGTCAGAATATCAATGAGAGCTCATGGGTGCTACATTCTTTTTTATGGTTAGGGTTATCTTTTGTTCATGATCTGGAGCTTTAATCAAATTTCTTCTTCAAAGAAGTTTCTAAACATAGTATTTTTCAGCATTACCTGCAAAGCCTCACCTAGAATCAGACCTATAATTCATATACATGGATGCCATATCGTTTCCTTAAAGGCATAGCTCACCCCAAAATGAAAATGCATTCATTAGTTCTCACACTCGTGATGTTCTAAACCAGAATGACTTGTCGATATGTCTAAATGGAGCCATAGAAGTGGTCCGAATGTTCTGTACTCTATATTTCAAATCATCTGAAGCTTTATGATTAGGAACAGACTGAAATCCTCAGTCCATTATTGTACTCCAGTTTCATCCACATAATTAAATATATTCTCTGAAGGTTTCCAGTGAATAGCAAATTTTGATCTATTCCTCACACAAATCTATCATATGACTTCATTTATGGCATATAAGTCATATGGACTACTTTATTGTGCTTTTTGTCCTTTTTGGAAAGAACATGAGTCACAGAGTTTGTAACAACATGAGGGTGAGTACATTTTCATTTTTGGCTGAACTATTGCTTTTAAAATCATTATTGCTCTACTGCACAGCTGGACAATTTTTCCTTTTGAAAGACCTTCGTATCTGAGGTTAAAATAAGCCCCCGGCACAAGCCCGTCTGCCCACAGATCACACATATTCCACACTCTTAACGCTCATGATTTTCACAGAAATGAAGCTGCGTTCGTGATTGAAACTGTGGCCGCATTATTACTCACCGGTGACTGTGTGAGTGTGTACGTGCCTGTCCTGTGTGTTTTAATGACGCATACATCCTTTATCTGCAGCCTGCACTTAATCCCAGCACTGCTGGCTCAGGAACAGATTACTGACAGCAGATGTGATGAGAGCAGAGCAGGGGAACCTGACACACACACACACACCTCCACTTCTCATTATGACAGAACAGTGCAGCCATTTTCTCACTGCTCTGTTTGTTCTGAGCTACCATCTTTGCTCTGGTTATTGTCTCCTTCTCAAAACATTTCTGTGTTTGATGGTAAACATTTGTGATGTGAATTTCATGATCTTTGTGCATGTGTGTTCCCAGGCTGAGCAGATCCAGCGGCTGGAGGAGGAAGCGTCCAGGCTGAAATCTCAGCATAGTTCAGTCAGTCAGCAGGTAACAGCAGGTCTTTGCTACCCCACACTCTTATTTATAACATCTCCCAGTGTTACCCTGTCAACAGAACTGTCACTTTTTTTGGACCTTTTTCTACTTAAATATTGAAAGGCAATCAAGAGATAGATGGGGGCCAATATCAGTCCCTTTAAGGCACGTTGTATACTCTTGGCAAATCCCTCAAGCGGCTATTAACTTGTGAAGTTCATTTAGCTGGATTTCTGCTGCCATTAAAGAAAAATGGCTTCTAGCACCAGAGTTATTAAAGTAAACTAAAACCATAAAAAGCTTTTGTTTCTTAATAAATAAAATAAATAAATAAATTCAATAGTGGTCTCAGACATTTGGACCACATTATGTGTCAAATCACCAATAACATAGCTTAAGTTACTCAAAGAACTGTATGGTTCAGCAAATGTACATGTTCAGGCTATAGCAGGGTTCCTCAAATCTTGCCCTGGAGGTCCAATGCGCTGCAGAGTTTAGCTCCAACCCTGATCAAACTCACCTACCTGTGATTTTCTAATGATCCTGAAGACACTGATTAGTAGGGCTGTGTATCACCAGCAAAGTCACGATACGATACGTATCACGATACAGAGGCCACGATACAATACGTATCACGATACATGACTGCACTGAATTTCACCTCAGCAGAATTTACAAAAACAGCTGTTTATTAAACACTGCATACTATAGTGCCATTTCTAACTATTGGCAGAGCAGGCAGTTGACTTCTGCATTATGAAGGGCCTCCATAACTGTACCACAGTACAATATAGGTAATGGCATATGTTTCATGTTTACATTGTCCACTGCTGCACACGTGCCACAATATCGATACAGGGCCAGCTGTATCGATACTCGTATCGTCAAATCTCTGTGACGATACATCGTCGTATCGATATTTTGAACACAGCACTACTGATTAGTATGCTCAGGTGTGTTTGATTAGGGTTAGAGCTAAACTCTGCAGGAAAGTGGATCTCGTGGGCCAGATTTGAGGATCCCTGGGCTATAGCATGTAATTTAAATCACAAAAAAAAGTAAAGTTATAAAATAAAATAAACAATTAAACGTTTACAAAAAAAATTTATTTTATTGGTCATGTGACCATTAACCAACATCAGAGAACTGGGAATGTGAGAATTTGATGTTGAATTATTGAAATATTAACTTTAAAAACTTAAAATCTTAGATGGTGCTTTAAGTAAATATTTTAGACCAAAGGGTTCAACTGATATTTTTCAATGGAAATTCGAAGTGCAGATCCATGCACATTTTAACTGCTAATATTGGCTACAACCCATTGCACTTTTGAGGAGGATTCAAGTGTAAAAAAAAAAAAAAACTATAAGCATGGCAGACTCAAAGTTAATGAAGAGATTTAGATAAAGAGATTTGAGTGATTAATAATAAAAAAAGACTAAAATAAATAAAATATTAATATTTATATAACTTGTGTTTTATTGCTAAGACTTTACAATAAGGTACATTAGTAACTACATTAGTTAACATGAACTATGAATGAACAATACTACAGCATTTATTAATCTTAGTTCATGTTAATTTCAGCATTTACTAATGCATTATTTTTTTAGTTTTTTATTTATTTAGTCATTTAGCAGACGCTTTTATCCAAAGCGACTTACAAATGAGGACAACAGAAGCAATCAATTGTAGTATTAAAACAACTAAAAACAGATCCAAAACTAAAAGCTAAAACTTTATAAATACTACTTATACACATTTAAAAAATAAAGAAATTAAATAAAAATGACAACGAAGATCTAATTTGATGTGTGTGCGTGCGCACGTTTGGGTGTTTGTCTATTTTGTGTTCCTGGGGACAAAAACGAAGGGCTTTTCATTTTAAATTCTCACTGCTGTAGATGCTGCCTCGACGCTGATAAGAAAAAAAACAATCATTTCATACTGCTGAGAAAATTGGCCGTAGTGCAGCTAAGATGGCAACAGCCTTGTGCAGAACACGTCGGATTCTAATTAGCTTTTTCTGTCAGGTTGAATCGTGTTGCTGAGGTGTGTGTGTGTACCTGACTGCATGCAGACGGTGTATTAATGCACCGTATGATTGACTAAATGCATTTTTGCTGCACTCCCAGTATATAATCACCACGTTCCCCTGTAACATTCACAACAACTCAGAATTTCTGCATAAAACACACGCTTGCTTGTGTGTGTGTGTGTGTGTGTATGTGTGTGTGTTGGGCTCAGATGAAAGGTTAACGCAGGAGCATATATCAGACACTAGCGTGCAGTAATAAAGGGCCAGCTATAGAGCTGCTTCTCTCCTTCTGGGAACTGCGCGCATTTTTATAACCTCGCTGACAGCAAGATAAAGTGCTCGTCCAATTAGAAAAATATTTGGGCGCATACCTTCCTGCGAGAGTCCCCAGCTTTTTTATTCTCAAACCCATTTTATATGGAATCTTGGGCATTTTGGTTGTTTGTTTTTCACTCCACGACAGCGACACGTGTGTTTTTGCCCTCGCAGCATGTGTGCCGCGTTTCTCGAGAGCGATCGCATGCATCCAGTTTTTGTACGGGCTACGGTTGCAGACATTGCAATGCCTGCACTCCATGCTCACACACGCGCCCTGATTAATTCTTAACCCTCGTCCGTATTCTTTCCTCCTTCTTTTAAGAATAGATGTATTTTGGGGGGCTTTTCTTACAGAGTGCATTAAAATTAAATTTTCTCTTGTTGTTGTGAAAGAGGCGCACGCTAAAAATAATTGGATGAGGGAGAGAACAAAGGGCTGCCTCTCCCTTGCGTGGCTGCATGGCCCAGCGAGGCGTTAATGCCGCGCCCGCCGCATTGTTCGGCTGTCTGCAGCCATCTCCCCAGCCAGACACTCAGCGCTGCTCAAGTCACTTTTAATGTCTGATAATCAAGGTGAATTTTCAAAAAGCTGCCATTTTCAAATGATGGTGTATATATTATGTGGAGATGGGGATTTTGAGAGAGGGGAGGGGCCGGCGGTGGGCGGCAGACGGGATGAGGGCCATGCACAGTGAAAGAGAGACACCTACTGGTTGCGGGCCGAACTGCCGGGACGCTGAACAGGGGGTTTGACGGTTGCATGACAGATGTGTGATTGGCTTGTGGAGTGCATCGGTGGAACATGGCATTCCGAGAATTGTGGTTTCTTTATTAACTATATTGTTCGTAGTACAAATCAGTAAAAGCCAGAATGTATGACTATGAATAAAGCACAATATTGTGCTTTTCACAAAAGAGGACACTTAAAAAATTAGTTAATGTATTTTTAGTGCATCGGCAATCAGCTACAAATATACCATTTATGCAACTTGTTAAATGCGAATATGCAGAAATCAACTAATTTCTATTTATAAATTTGTTTATTGTTAGTTCATACCTAATGCATTAACCAATGTTAACAAGCCTTATTGTAAAGTGTTTAATTTATTTAATTTAGCTTCCAAATGCACTCTTTTGGCAAATGTGTTGTGCTTTGCAAGAGTAACGTGTGCTTCTCAGTGGTTTTCACCTTTATTTGCCACTGACTTGTGTCAGCTTTGCAGGCTCTTCCATGAATTTACATTTTCATTTGTGCAGTACAGATGGAACCAGCCATTCGCTACTGTACATGAAGCTGTGCCACGCTTTTTATGCTGGTTTCACACATACAGCTAAGGCATTTTCATTTCAAAGAACGAGGCAATTTCTGGGACATGAATACCAAAAATGTTGCCTTGGAAATAAAAAAAAATTAATAAATAAAAAAAATTATTATTTCACTTAATGTTTTTCAAGCAACAAATTTTATGAGTGTATTTGTAAATGTTATAATCCGTTAATACAAGCATATTTGCTGATAGAAAAGTAGTTTCACCAATAGCATGCAAGCATTGGACATAATCAACCAATTGTGGCATACGAAAAGGCGGGATCTACAGAGAACTGTAAAAGCAATGCTAATACGTGTACATAGAATGTATAAAAACTATGGAGAGCATTTCAATATTGAAACAAATCCCAGACATTTTGACAATTTAGAAATCCCGGCCAGGTCCAAAAAGAGGGTGCGTCCAGGAAAAAGAAGATGTATGGTCACCTTAATAAAGCCGATGCTGGTTTTTGTAAATGTACACCTATAGTCATTCATTACTGTGTTAAAGTCCCACATCATTACCTTAGTGTGTAGCAACCAAGCTCTGTCTCACTATACATCCTTTTTTTCTTTCTGCAGTGCCTCTGCATTCTCATTTTTCACCCCAGCGTGCACCGCACCGAACGCTGCAATACATTACAGAGGTGAATGTATGCAGCACGTAGAACGTAATAAGTGTGTATTTATTTCCTCCAGACTGATTTACTCTCCCCTGGCTTGGAGGTGGGAGAGGAGAACAACCATCTGCAATGAGCTTGATGTATCAGATCGCACTGTTTTTTGCAGTGCAATCCTTTTTATTACTACATTGTGACTGTTTTTGTTATTTTTTTGGCTTGTACATATGTTTATTTGTACATCCTGTTTCAAGCAAAAGTCTCTTTGGTGCTGGACTGTGGCGACTGAATACAAAAATAGGATGGAAGCCTGAAATTGCCACTGAGCTTTGTGAGGGCCATGACGCGACAGGGTCCAAATGCATTATCCTCTCCATAAGGCCTCAACTAGTGATAAAGATGGAGAAAAAAATACTTTTCTTTGCGTTCTTAGAAGAAACTGGACGAGTAAAAAGCCTTTGGTCTGGTGCGTCTGTTTTTGTCATTGATTATGAGAGCGCTGGGGTTTGTTTTAAGATGCCTGTCTTCAGTGGACTGACTTAATGCACCGGCAGAGCGGGGGAATGTGAACGAAGAGGACAGGAGCCTGTGTCTTCACTTCTCTTTCATGAAGAGGCCGCTGCAGACGTGACGTGCTTCCTGAGAAGGATCCTCGTCTCTGTGCGTGTTTGTGACTGCGAAACGAGGACGGAAGTATCTTTGAGGCACACAAACATTTATAAGCAAA